GAAGCCCGATGTGGGATTCGATCCCGGGTCTCCAGGATCGCGCCCTGGGCCAAAGGCAGGCGCCAAACCACTGCGCCACCCAGGGATCCCTATTTTATTTATTTTTTTAGAGATTTTATTTATTTGTGAGAGACATACACAGAGAGAGAGAGAGAGAGAGAGAGAGAGAGAGGCAGAAACACAACACAGGCAGAGGGAGAAGCAGGCTCCATGCAGGGAGCCCAACATGGGACTCAATCCCAGGTCTCCAGGATCACACCCTGGGCTGAAGGCAGTGCTAAACTGCTGAGCCACCTGGGCTGCCCTAATATTGCATTTTTATATATACACATACACATACGTTTATATGTAATGCATTTTACACATATACCTTCCAGAAATCTATTCTTTCAATTTTTACCTGCACTTCAGATCAGAGTTCACCTATATTCCAACAGTGGTCAACTGTTGCTGGTGTTGCTTTTGTTAGATATCTGATAATTAATATACCACTAACAATGGTCAATGGGATCATGTGCACTTTGGCTAGTTTTAGCAGATCTTTAGACTAGATTCCTTTCTTTAAAAAAAAAATGTTTATTCGTGAGAGACACAGAGAGAGGCAGAGACACAGGCAGAAGGACAAGCAGGCTCCATGCAGGAGCCCCGTGCTGGACTAGATCCTTGGACTCCGGGATCATGCCCTGGGCTGAAGGCAGATGCTCAACCACTGAGCCACCCAGGCTTCCCGACTAGATTCCTTTCTTAACTAAATTTATCTTATAAAGGATTTTAAACTTTTTGAATAATTTAGAATCAAACGTGAATATATTTCTCTTTTGTAAATTTATTTTCATTTGTCCCCACTAACAAAGAATTGAGAAACTGAAGGCAATCAGTTGAACAAAAACAAGTTGTCAAAATTTGCAGTGTATTCTATGTTGAGACTTCAGAAAAAAAATGATGAAAGTAGATGCATTGTTTTGTGTATTAAATCAAATAAGAGAACCAAGCTTTTGAAATGTGCTTTTTCTGATTAATTCAAGAGAAAAATTATATAAAATTTCTTGTGGCTTTCATCTTGCATTAACTAATATGGTAAAAGGATTTCTCTCTGACATTTTTACCAAAAATGTCCCAATTCTAATAATAAAGCAAACACTTATTTAAGTATTTTAAGCTGTTTTAACTCTATATTTCAGAGAGTTTGTAGACTTCTTGGAGCTGTAGTCCTCACCAATAGGTAAAAAAACTGGGAACTAGACAATCCGTAAAGTATTTTTGCATTCTAACAAGCAAACATTTTCTCCTAAATTATTATCTTAACTACAGAAGAATTCTTTTTCATTTGAATGGTACAAGTAAAAACCTATCTCTCCCACTTTCTCCCCTACTTTTTGCCTTTGCTCATTGCAGAGAAGATTTTTCTATGCAAGTATTCCATAGGGCATCTTGGCACAAGGGATTTTTGAATGCAATTATTCTTTGAATTGTTATGTGCTGGGTAATTTACTGGTATACCATTGTGATCTGCTTATACATAAGGCCAAAAACCTGAGTAATGCATCATAAACTAGTCTTTTATATTGTCTTTATCAAGGTTCACTGGATCTTTTAACCTACATTGACTACTATAAAGTTAATTTTCCATAATAAAGCAATATTCAAATCAGCCTTTTAAAAATCACACTATAAAAATGAACATACGTAAGTCAAAATTAAGGGCGTCATAAGCAAATAACCTTTGGCACAGTTACTTTCATGTGCGGTTTTATTTTTCATACATTTGTTTTACCCAAATTGGTTTTATTTATACTTTTCTCATAAGCTACAACAACTCTAAAGACTGTTTTTAATGACAAATCACCAGGAGCATATTTTGTTATTCTGCTATGTTCCCCTTCACTGTGCAAAATTGACCTCACATGAAAGTAACTTTGGGAAAATAAGAACACTAAGTGATTGCTAGCATCTGGGAGGCAATTTTCGGAATTATCCATTCATTTGCACATTCAAGATATATTTGTTAGACTACTATACTCCACACCAAAGATGTTCCAGGCCCTGGATACTTATTAGTGAACCAAACTGGAAAAAAAAATAAAAACTGTAGCTCCCAGTGATTTTTGTTGAGGTGGTGGTTACAAGAGGAGGAAACAAACAAGCATATATGGATAGTAATAAGTACTATGAAGGAAAACACGGCATTATTTAAAGGAAAGTGAATCAACTAATTTCTAAATCAAAATGGTAAGTTTCATTTCTAAGGATAGGTAGATTTCTTTTAATCATGATACCTATCCCCAATCACCCTACTCAAAAGTAACTAAAGGGATTAGATCTTGCAGTGGTTCCTCATGGTTCCCATGCCTGCCTCCAGCCCTAATTAACACCTTCTATGCTTCTCTATGCACACTAGATTACAAACACATTGATTTTTGTTGTTGGTTCTCAAACATGTAAACCTCCTTTTTTCCACATATTGTTCTACCTTGAATCTAATCTACCCCCTTTACCCCACCCCAGCTCCAAATCCAGCTAATTCCTAAATGTGATTTCTGCATGGGAGCCAACTCTGGATGAGGCTCCCTGCTCTCACTCTCCTAGCATTTTGACCTGTCCTTTTAGGAACTTATTACAATTTTTATTATGTAATGACATAAGGCATCTTGTGTATTTATCATCTATCTCTTTCATTAGCCTGCAAGCTCCATGGGATGAGGGGAGGTGGGGCACTGGAGGCAGCTGCTTCTGAGCCTTGCCAATGTACTTTCAGTGTCTTGCAGCCTGCCTGATACAAAATAAGCATTTAAAAAATTGTGAGAGAAAGAATGATTTTCCATAAAAAAATATCTCTGGTTTACAGCACATGGGTTTATGCAACACATGGCAAAATGGGTTCTGGTGAGAGCTGGTAATATCTTTTAAACCATGTGACTAAGCAAACGATTCTAGTTGAATCCTTGTGTTTTTAAATCTGTGTTACACACTGTTCCTGCCCCAAACTCTGCTGGAAGTCTACTGCTTGCTCACAGGCTCACAGTCTCAATGACAGATGGTTTTTAATCTTTGCTATTTGGCTTCCAGAGTGGGTGGATATTGCTAACTCATGTATTCTCTCCAGCATGTAGAAAATGACTCTGGTGGCCATACTCTGTAAGGAAGCAGATACTTTCTGGGATCTGTAGCTATGGGAGAAAGGTTTTAAATGCTTTCAGGTGGGAAAAAGCCACTTTTTCCTTGGAATTATTGTTGAAAATAATCCAACTGTGAAAAGCCACGGTTGTGTTAATCATAAAATAATTCCAGGACTACACTGTTTGATCAACTCATGCCCAGTACTCTGAATGGCACACATACATATCAGTAGAAACATACAGTGTTGGTAATACTTCCTACTTGTTTTGACATGAAAAATGAGAAATCTCCTTGAGAAGACGAAGAACCCTTTCTCAGCACCTAATATGTTCTAAATTTCCATTGTGGCACTTATCAATTTATAGAGTGATTTTTTTTTCTACATCTGTCTCTCTAACTCCTTCAACAGCAAACTGTCTTTTCTCTTCTTATCCCTAAGACCTGACCAAAAAAATAAGGTCCATGATACACATTCAATTAATACTCATTGAGTAAATCACAGATAATAAATAAGTCCCTACATTGAAAACAGCTTGGGTTGGAGGAGACACTCCCTTATCTATTTCAGCCATGCAAAAATGGAGCTCGGAAGCCACTCAGGAAACCACGCTCTCTTATGCAGCATCTATTCCTCTAAACCAAGGACTAAGGTTTTCTCAAACCCAATAAATCCTCAGAAGATTTTCCTATGTGGATTTATGCCAGAACAATTCGGTCCATTAGTTGGCAAATAAGGACCCCTTAACAACTGCAGAGGAACTATAAAATTCTATTCAGAATATAATGAAAGCTGCAGGGGATTGTGTATTCATTTATCTTGTAGTAGGAAAACTTGAATCCTCAAATAACAGGGTGTTGCCATGTTAGCTTCCTCTAGAGAATTGAAACCCAAGCTGTAAGAGAGTAGAATGGTCTGATTGGTATCAGAGCCACTGGAATCTGCAAAGCCTCCATTCTTAATTGGGACCAGAAGATTCAGCCGATAGCAAAGTCTCCCTACCTGTGTTTCTACATACGTGAAAGGATTGTGCTACTTCACTTAGTATTTTGAGATCTCAAATTCTAAAATCATGACTTAGAAAAATAATAATAAAGTCATTACTTAATAGCCTAAAATATAAGGTAAGGGGTTGCTCCATATCAAAGAATAGATAAACGCAAGAGAAGTGCATTAAAACAGAACGAAAGGAAGACAAGCAAAAGGAAAGGAGTGGAGGGAAAGAAGGAGAAAGGATGGGAGGAAAGAACAAAGTAAGGGAGGAAGGGAACTGTTAAAATGTTTCATCAAGCTACTCCACATCCCCGAGGTTTTGTATGTGCAGTATTTCAATGTCCTTCCTAGGTAAATAGCAAGGCTTTTCCTTTTTATTAGCACTGCTGCAGCTGCTGTTGCTTACAAAGAGATTCACAAATCAAAATAGATTCAGTTAGCTTTTCAATAATTCTAAAAGGTGGGGGAACATTGCCAGAGAAGCCTAGCACTCCAGTATCCTAACAAGGAGTCTTGTTAGCAAAACAAAGTGTGAATTGCTTAGAGATAATTCCCTGCGGTTGGTAATTCCACTGGGCTCCTCGGTGGCAGCACGAGCTATTTCTCCTCAATAGACCAATGCCACCGAACAGAATATGTCAAAAGAAATGCAAAAAACGGGCTTTCTTGAAACATTTATTCTCCTAGATTTTTCTTTATGTCAGCATGATTCATACTTATTGGTTCTTAGCCTGGAGCACCTAGCACAACCAGGAATTGAGGAAGCTAGAGCAGAGTGTGAATAATGAATGAGCTACATACGCAGAAGTCCATACACCCAATCAGTAGCAAATGCAAGTGCAGAGTTGCAGGCCAGCATTTTCATGGATTATTTCTATTATTTTCTCTCAAGGGAAAACACGAAAACGAGAACCAGCAAGAACTTGAGTGACAAACGCCTGGTTTGAGATTGGAAGACTGTTCTTTGCCTATTGCTTCATTCCTCGAAATTGCATTACAACTGCCAGATTAAGGTATATGGAAAAAAAACGAAACTTTGATAGGTTTTGTTGATGCATCCCTCTGTCTCCATATATATTCTTGTGATGTGGGAGGGGGGGGGAAGCATTTGTTTAGAAGACTGAACGAAAAGTGTTTCATGATATTAAAGGAAATATTAATATTTTTTGCAACTTCTGAAATTATTACTAGTATTAATGCCCTTGAAGTGCTAGTTTACTTGATGAGGCACTGGTCACTTATATAACATTTGTGCTTTCTCTCACTTTCATTTTGTACTTCATCAAATCTGAAGTTGTCATGGTTCATTATCTGTAGATGATCTTGGGCAGCCTTGCATTCTAAAAGAATATGCCATGGCATCTGCCTCTGTGCTTTTGTGCCCTGCTGTACAGATGATATTTCAGCATGAGTATTGGGTAAGGGGGTGAGAGTGGAGGCAAGATTTGTCTCAGGCTGATGATGTTTCTTTGTGCCAGACTATGTCTTCTTCTTTTGTGTCTGCCTGATTCAGCAACGAAGTACATATATCACATTGTGACTATTACATATGTTAGAGTACATAATTGGGGTTGTAAAGTATATGCTTGAATGTCTTAAATAATGAATTCCATCAAATTCAATTACCATTCTTGGACTCTTCATTAACCAATCAAATTGCTTCTCTAGTCTAAGTCATTTCCAAGACACTTTCATAGGCATAAACACAATTGTATGAAGTGAATTGGGGGTGATTAAATTATCTTACTAGTCATTATTTGGAGTCCCATGTTACTGAAGTTTTGGATTCCTAAAGAATGGACTTTCATGTTATTCCCATTGTATACAGGAGCATAAGATTATGTCTTCAGGAGTTTATTTCACTATTTGCATCTTTACTCTTTTTTCCGAGGAAGTGGGTTACAGTAGGTCACCAATACTAAAATTACATAGAAGTAAACCAAGTCTTATAAAATTTATGGACTTATTAAATAGATCTGTCCAACAGGCTTGTGTTATACCAGAAGTTTCTCCCGTCTCTCATGCAGTGTGATACTTCAGTCTAAGATCACAGTTGTTACTGTTGAGGCATGCTTTTTTCCTAATTCTCATATTTTCTTTGCATGGACTATTAAATTTTGAAAATGCATATATATCCAGAGCCAAACGTACTTTACTTTCCTAGGAAATCACTGTCACCATGCTAATGTATAATGTTATTTCAATAACTTTACAATGAAGGACATGTGCTGATGTTGTTGCATTTTCCCTACACTTAGGTTTCCAATTAGTATATCTTTGTCTTCTACTCTCCCTTGGCCCAACAAACATTGTCCATCCTGAAGCCTGAGTTCATTCATTTATTTATCTAATGATGATTTTGTTAAGTACTTCATATGCCAGTCATTTTTCTAAGCCCTATGTCCAGGCTTCTGTTCTCACGGCATTTTCATGTTAGTGGAGAGGCAGACCTTTCTCAAAGAACAAATACATAAATATACAGATCCACTAAAATGTTGGTTATCCAGTATCTAAAATCATATTTTTTCTACATCTTTTTTTTATCCAAGTTTTTTCCAGTGATCCTACTCTTTAATCTTATTGATTCTTACTGTTGTCAACCATGCAGTAAAATTGATCCTATCCACATACTTCAACTCTCTTAAGACTTTACATTTCCTTAAATGGAACAGACAAGGAAATGTATAAATTTACATATTAGACAAGCTGTATTGCCTGAAAAATCTAATCCAGATAGCTGGGCCCAAATAACACCAGGATGGCTACACTGTGGCCAGTATCAAATCAAATACCCTACAACCCATTCACAAAAACTATCTTTTCTGATCCTGAGGTTTTTCTTAATTATATTTTCCAGTGATTAAGTGTTCTATTCTGGAACACATCAGAATAAATCTTTTGCTCCATTGTTCTATCAGGCAAAGTGACTTTGGTATGGATTAAGTTAGACTAGCCACTTTTTAATTCTATAAAGATTGTATGCATCTAGTCAATATAAAACAACAATAGACTCCAGAGGATTCATTGTGGTAACAGAAAAAATGACTTAACCAAAGATACTGGATATAAAGCAGAAAATAGATGATAAGAATATACATGGCAACTTATATATATTTTTAATATAAGAAGAGATAAATCAATATCCTGAAAAAGTCATAGAAATAGTATATGTTAATAATTTCCCTTAATTATCACTTAAACTAAAAACATTTAAATGCAACATATAGAGAACCACTTTAATAATAAAAATGATTTTTATATTTGCTTATGTTGATACTTATTTCAGCCTAATAAAATATTTTATGGAGAATGAAATACTTTTTATCATAATTTAATAAAAGCAAAAGTTTTGATGCTTTCATCAGTTTATTTAGTGTTGATTCATTTTTTTATTTGAATATACTTTTTCCAAGTGTTAGGCATTTAAAGAATCTTTATTTTACCATACATTTAACCACCTAGTTCACATGGACATGGGAGAGAACTTGATATAATCTTATAGAAAAACATAACCAAAGTAAGAAATGTATAAAATAGATAGGAGAATATATTTTATTATTTATTTTATTTTATATTATTTATTTATTTTATTTTTTATGAGAATATTTTTTTAAAAACCCAGTAAGAATATGAAACAACAGAGGGATATGTTAAAGGGTAGAAAATTACTTCAGGTGCTATAGTAATGAGCAATGTGTAAAGCTCACACTTAACTACCTGAAGCATTGCCTAATTTTACTACATGCATCTAGATTAATTATTGATTACAATTTGTATCGGCAATTCTGCTGAACTGAGCTGAAGCCCTCACCACTCTTATTCATATATGCCTATCTTCACAGCAACATTATTATAAATATTTCTAAATATATAGATCAGTGCACAAATGCAAAAGTAAAAATCCTCCAGGGTCAAAAAAGGGACAACTCAAAAGCAGAGTACGAAGTAGAAAGACTAAGAGCTGATGTCATGACTGAACAGGCAGGGATGCGTCCCTTATCAAGTCTCTAATGATTAGGGATCTGGAACTGAAAATCTCATATACATTCAAGACCCAAGAAGAGCTGTCTTCTCTTTGATGAAGCAGCAAGAAAATTGTACCCACTGATCCACGGAAGTGACTGGAGCTTGTCTGGCTAGGAATCTAGATGAAATGGGGAAAAAAGTAACTCTCCTGTGACAAATAAAAACACCAAGCTGTGGTATATACCACTATGGGGTTTAAATTTATATTATTCACAGCACATGAATCCTTCAAAATTTTATTATTTTATTTTATTTATTTTTTTAAGATTTTATTTATTCATTCATGCTCTCATGAGAAAGAGAGAGAGGCAGAGACACAGGTAGAAGGAGAAGGAGGCTCCACACAGGGAGCCCGACGTGGGACTTGATCCCGGGTCCCCAGGATCACGCCCTGGGCCGAAGGCAGCACTAAACCGCTGAGCCACCCGGGCTGCCCCCTTCAAAATTTTTAAAGAAACTAATGGAAACCTACAATTTTGTATAGAAACATATCTGGGCCAGAAACACTCTGAAAATTAAAAAAAAAAAAAAAACTCTGAAAATGAATTTATTTTTTTTATTTTTATTTTTATTTATGATAGTCACAGAGAGAGAGAGAGAGAGAGGCGCAGAGACACAGGCAGAGGGAGAAGCAGGCTCCATGCACCGGGAGCCCGACGTGGGATTTGATCCTGGGTCTCCAGGATCACGCCCTGGGCCAAAGGCAGGCGCCAAACCGCTGCGCCACCCAGGGATCCCTGAAAATGAATTTATAATTAAATAAGGATAAAGCCCTCACAGGAGAATTGTCCAACATAATGAAGAATAATAAGCAGACACCACAAACTAGAATTCTAAAAATTTTAAAAATAATTGCAAACATAAAAGGAAAGAAATAGGGACACCTAGGTGGCTTAGTGGTTGAGCGTTTGCCTTCGGCTCAGGGTGTGATCCTGGGGTTCCAGGATCGAGCCCCGCATTAGACTCCCTCCAGGGAGCCCGCTTCTCCCTCTGTGTCTCTGCCTCTCTCTCTCTCTGTCTCTCATGAATAAGTAAATAAAATCTTTTTTAAAAAGGAGAAGAAATAGAAACCAACAGGAGGGCTTTATAAAAATAAATTAGCAAATGTGAAAAAGAAATAATACTCAAAGAAAAGAAAAATATAGTTTTCAAATTTAAAAACATAATGAAAACTTTAAGGAGGAAGAGAAAAATGGCCTAAGAGAATATTAGTGGCTACAAGTTAAACCTGAAGAAATTATCAAGAATGAGCATAAGAGTGTTAAGCTATGGAAATGCTGAGAGATATGAAGGAATAATATGAAGAAGTACACCACATACCTCCTAGGAATTGCAGGTGGATAATTGTAGGATAATAGCTGAGAGGTTTCTGTGTTTGAAGAAAGACATAAGTACCATAAAGGATCATTCTCAGTCACAAGCCAAATAAATAATAACAAATTCATACATAAATATTTTAACAAGCCCACAGAGCACCAATGATAATGCAAAGACCTTAAAAAATCAATTAGAGCAGATAGTATATAAAAAAGCAATGAAAAATAATAATTTCAAGTGTTGAAGGAAAATAGAAAACTCAAATTCCATGCTTATGTAAACTATTTTTTTCAAGAGTGAGAGCATATTTGTGCATATTTGTGAAATCCTGGTTGTGAATGTGTTAGCCTTAAAAAGTTGGTTATTCTATGACTCACTAAACCAAAAGACATTATCATCCATGGAATATTGTTAAAAGACCAAATTCATTGCTAACATATCTTTACATATCAAATGTATGAACATTTTAATGGCCTCAGAGAAGAGACCTTTGGACAGCTAGTTAAATGGCCTGAAATGTGGAAACTATGCACTGCCTTGACCATTTACTTGTTTTGGGTTGTAAGCCACACCACTTCCATTCTTCTTAGTAGCAACGTCAAGTGTGAAATCTGTATGCTCTCCTAGGTTCATCCTTCTAATTCTTGAACTGTCATTAGAGTAGCCTTGT